TATTAACATAAATATAATGTATTTAATGATATATTTAATATTATAAATACCTCCAATTCAAATATATAGAAAGATAATAACGATTAACGAGTAAAAATTGATACATATTTTTGCCAAAATAAAGATTGATACCTATGAAAAACAAACACACTAACTCTTACTATGAGTAAAAAATAAACTTATTTTTACCTTTTAAATGACTGAAATAATTTAGAAACAAATAGTAACAATAGATTTAATAATTATAACTATTATTTTTAATAAAATAATTAAACTAAAAAATAAAAGCAAAAAAATGCTTGAAACACACTAAATTGTTGAGGCTTTACTGTATCCAGCATATCTTACCTTTTATTCATGTATTTGAACCACAAGTGGTTCACTAATATTTTATTATTTTTTAAAATGAATAGTTTTATAATTGAATGAAAATAGTGAATGGCAACATAAAAGCAGTTCTCCCTTTCAAGTGTACCAACTGCCTTTTCTCCGTCACTTAATAGTGTGTATTCCTCGTTTTGTTATCCCAAAAATAAATTAACAATATTCAAGATATTTTATAAATTTGTGATTCTGTAAATTGGAAACGTACAGAAACCTTAAAGCCTTCCTTTAAGTTTCAGGATCATCAAGCCAATAATAGACCATTTAATTGCCAAACTGGCTTTATATCCCTCTTTTCTTTGCAAATCTAGATTTTAATATCCCTCAATGGGTAAAACTCATTAACTGAAGAAAAGAAACATTATGAGATAAAAAAAAGTGTTCAAAAAGCATTAACGCGCTAAATAGACGTTGACCCAGACGCCGTCTAATTAGGGCCTACGCGATTTTAGGCAGTTTAGACATTTATAACATAAAATATTTTAAATGTGTTATTAATTTATTATAGATTTAAGTTATATATATATACATTATTTCAATATTATATAGTTTTTTTGATTAGTTAAAGACGAAATAATGATAACAAAACGTAAAATTGACATGTAATAAAAAAGCGTAACCAAAAAAACAAAATTATTTGAAAAACTAATATAAAAAAAAGCAACACTAGAGGAGGGATTCGAACCTGAGATTGGGTAAGGCTTTAAAGGAGAACTCAACCAAATATGCTAAGTCATATTTAATACACTAATTCAAGGGGTACAGTGGATTTTAAGGGGTATAGTGGTAAATGCATCAACTTCCGAAGCCCTAATTCACTTCTCAGCCGATTGGTCCAGAGACAGAACAGAGAACAGTGTTCTCACTTCTTAGCCGATTGATCCAGATTTTTTTTTTCTTCACCTCTCTTTCTCAATGGCCTCAACTTCTTCTCATAAACCTGATTTGGTTGATAAAACAGTAAAAGATTTGGTTGATTTGTTTGCTTATGCTCATCTTTTATCTAAACCCACTGAGAGAAAATATGTGCCCAACGCAACTGGCGACGAAGAAATGTTGGACTCTATTCCAATGATGCGCAATTTGATTTGTCCACCCGGTGATGATGAAATACATCGTAAGTCAGATATGGCGAGGATATGTAAGAAACATGCGAAGAAGTATTTGGAGAAATCAAATGAGCGAATCCCTGAAAAATTGGTTACATGTAAGATTTTGATTTTGTTCCCTAAATATTACATTATTCTATATACATTTCTCTTTGTGGTCAATGTTTCTGTATTTGATATACATTTAACGTATTATTGTTCATGTATTTATAAATAGTTATAAATGCTCTCAAATTAAATATCTAAAAATTTATTTTAATTTTGGATAAAATATTTTATAAATAATATACATATTATTATAACTCACTAAAAATAGATAAGATAATGCAAGTAAAAATATAATATTTGTAATTGAAGTATTTTAAATCACTACTCGAAATATAAAGTAACATTTAGGTTAATATATGTTCTCGTAATATTTAAAGATAAGGATATTAACATAAATATAATATATTTAATGATATATTTAATATTATAAATACCTCAAATTCAAATATATAGAAAGATAATAACGATTAACGAGTAAAAATTGATACATATTGTTGCCAAAATAAAGATTGATATCTATGAAAAACAAACCCACTAACTCTTACTATGAGTAAAAAAATAAACTTATTTATACCTTTCGAATGACTTAAATAATTTAGAAACAAAGAGTATCAATAGATTAAATAATTATGACTATTATTTTTAATAAAATAATTAAACTAAAAATAAAAGCAAAAAAAAATGCTTGAAACACACCTAAATTGTTGAGGTTTTACTGTATCTAGCATATCTTACCTTTTATTCATGTATTTGAATTACAAGTGGTTCACTAATATTTTATTATTTTTTAAAAGGAACGGTTTTGTAATTGAATGAAAATGGTGAATGGTAACATAAAAACAGTTCTCCCTTTCAAGTGTACCAACTACCTTTTCTCCGTCACTTAATAGTGTGTATTCCTTGTTTTGTTATCCCAAGAATAAATTAACAACTTTCAAGATATTTTATAAATTTGTGATTCTGTAAATTGGAAACGTACAGAAACCTGAAAGCCTTCCTTTGAGTTTCAGGATCATCAAGCCAATAATAGACCATTTAATTGCCAAACTGGCTTTATATCCTTTTTTTCTTTGCAAATCTAGATTTTAATATCCCTCAATGGCTAAAACCCATTATCTGAAGAAGAGAAAACTATGAGATAAAAAAAGTCTTCAAGAAAGCATTAACGGGCTAAATAGACGTTGACTCAGACGCCGTCTAAAACGTCTAATTAGGGCCTACGCGATTTTAGGCAGTTTAGACATTTATAACATAAAATATTATAAATGTGTTATTAATTTATTATAGATTTAAGTTATACAAAATATTTATTAAAAATATATATATGAAATCATAAACAAATATTAGACAAAAATATTAAGTATCTAACAACATATGTTTTATAACCATATATGGACTTAAGACTTATAAATTTAAATTTATGTAGTAGTTAGAAATAGTGAATACAAAATTCGAACAATAGAAAGTAACTTCCACGGTCTAAACAGTTGTCTAGACATCGTCTGATCGGGGTCTAAACGAACGCGTAGACCGCTTTTTACCGTAAGGGCATCATCAATGGGGGATCATGTGAGGGTGTTCTTAGAGAAAATATAATGTTAAAATAATGTAAGATCATGTGTTTAGATCTTTTGTTTAGAAGTTGATTAGTGGGAGAACATGTGTAAGATCTTAAGATTTAATAATATAATAATCTACAAATTTTAAAACATATTACAATTATTAAAACATTTAAAAATAACATATAAATTGCAAACTTTAAAAACTGAAAATAAAAGTGAAAATACAATACTAAATATTTATGAAAAAAAAACATTAAAAATATAAATAACAATAAACAAACAAACATATTACTTAATAAAAGCACAAAAACATTTTATCTAATTAATACATAGTTTATTATCCAAATTTATTCCAAATATGTTGAATCAAATCCTCTTTTAATTGGTGATGTGCTTGTCTATCACGAATTCTTGTATGCCCATCACCTAAACCTTCAAGATTTATAGCCATATTTACTGAAAACGTAAGATCCCGAGGTATTTCGGTTTCATCGTCTTGTCGGAATTCATTTTCGTCATAGAGAGTGTATGAATCTCGCTCATCTTCGACAATCATATTATGGAGTATGAGACAAGCTCTCATAATATATGCTATTTTACCTTTCGACCATAAAAGAGATGGATTTTTAATCATGGCGAATCTAGATTGCAGGACTCCAAATGCACGCTCAACATCTTTTCGTGCACCTTCTTGACGTTCAGCAAACAAACTATGTTCCGGGTGTTGTGGTTTTGGGATGGATTTAACAAATGTCGCCCATTCGGGGTAAATGCCATCCGTCAGATAGTAAGCCAAATTATACTCCCTTCCGTTGACATAGTACGTCACTTCGGGAGCTCGACCGTAAATAATGTCATTAAAAACTGGAGATTGATCAAGAACATTTAAATCGTTACTAGTACCTGGCGCTCCAAAAAATGCGTGCCATATCCAGAGATCTTGTGAAGCTACCGCCTCCAAAACAATTGTTGGTTTACTGGTGCCTTGTGAATACATTCCTTTCCAAGCAGTTGGGCAATTCTTCCACTTCCAATGCATACAGTCGATGCTGCCAACCATCCCGGGAAAACCCCGCTTTTCTCCATAAAAGAGTAGCCTTCGGAGATCCTCTGGTGTGGGTCGCCGTAGATATTCAGTGCCAAACAAGTCCACTATTCCGACGACGAAATGTTCCAAACATTCACGAGCAGTCGATTCACCAATACGTAAATATTCGTCAACCGAGTCCGACCCAGTCCCATATGCTAATAGCCGAATTGCTGCAGTACATTGTTGTAGCGGTGATACACCATTTCGGAACCTTGCATCCTTTTTTGGTTGAAAATATGGAAGCTTTTCACTAAGACGATTCACAATACGCAAGAACAATGACTTGTTCATTCGAAACCGTCTGCGAAATTGCCTATCCAAAAAAGTCGGATTATCACTAAAATAATCGTTCCACAAACGTTCATGCCCTTCTTCCCGTTTTCTATCGATATATGTACGTTTCTTCCTCTCGGCCGGAATTTCCTCTTCCGCCGGAATTTCCTCTTCAGTAGCTTGAAATTGATTATGAAATTGAGCTTGAAAAAATTGGTTAAAACTATCATTATTCGGATCATAATGGTAGTGAAAATTATTGGAAGAAGAAGCCATAAAAACTTGGGAGAGATTAAACTTGGAATTTGTAGATAGAGAAAATAAACTTGGAATTTGTAGATAGAAAGAGAAGAGAATTGTATGTTCGTTGGGAGAGAAGGAAATGTTTTCTTGGTTTGTTTTATGAAAGAAGTGTATGTTTGATGAAATACAATCTTCTGCTCGTTTGAAATATTTATAGAGAGTTGCAAGTTTGTGTGGGAAAAGGCATTTGATACATCCATAACGTCAAGTTGATACATCAAGACAAACACATGTGAACGTTGGTCTTTCTTACAAACAAAAGCATGTGACTCTTGTCAAATTTTGTTTTCCAAAACATACAAAACAAATGCACGTGAGTCTGGCTTTAAAACTGTGCCTACAATCATACATTATATGCTGCACTTGCCGACTACTCTAATTTACTTAATAAACATGATGAGTGCCACTACCAAAACACTCATACTGAAGCAAACAGCAACTACCAATTCAGGGGCCAAGTTGAACAATGGTTTCTTCTCACCTAACTCAGTAACAAGCCTCTCCAGTTTAACCAACCTCTGATCTGAATGGTTTTGGTGGTCCTTGAACTTCATCAGGTCTGTCTCATAATCAGGTTTTGTTGGTTCAACATCACAGCTCCACAGACTCCTCTTCACAGTCTGAGGTTGCAGAGGATAGTAACTGCTATCTTCCTCCTCTTCAGAACTGTAGTCTAATGGGCTGTTTATCCCATAGTCATAGATATCATCAAGTCCCATGTCTTATTCAACCTGAAACCAAAAAACAGAAAGCAATCAGAATGAAGAATGCAATCAGAAACGGAAGACAGATAATCAGCTTGCCAAAGCTCATTAAACATGAGATATATAAGAATGCAATCAGAATACAAAACCAAAGCAATCAGGATTTAGGAAACAAACATAGCCGATTCATTAAAAACATAAGAGAACAAGTTGAACAATGTTACATATCTGATTCATAACCACATTAAAAACAAAAGACAAACATAGTTAAAACAAACATAAGACAAACAGACAAATCATCTAGTGTTTATTCTAAGTTAAAAAAAGTTCAGCAACTAGCTTCTTCTTTACAACTTTGTCTTCTTCATCTAGATTTTCTTTCTTGGCAATTAGACTGTCAAGAATGGACAGCTTTTGGAGTTCTTTCATTCCCTCCACATCCTTCTGTTTTAGCTCAAACATTTTACTAAACTCAGCAGATGGTGTAGCAGATGCAGCAGATGGTGCAGCCGATGCTGAGGCCTTCTCTTTACCTTTGGTCTTTCTTAATTTTTTCATTGCCTTTATGCCAGGAGGCCTACTCTCGTGCTCACCTACTACAGAGCCTGAAGATGGTGCAGCATCATTTGCTTTGCGTTTGTTAGAGCTGGTTGACTTATTAGGAGTGGGGTTCATAGCCTCCAGGTTTAGCCATTTCTGTTCATAGCGAAGAACATTCCAAGCATACTCCAAAGCAAACTTCTTCTTGTAAATCTTAGTGTAGATTTGGTGAGCATTCTGCAGAATATCCAAATCATTCATGCCACTAGCTTTCTCTGCTAGAGACTCTGCATAAGCACCACAAAACTTACTAACATGCCTGCTGACTTTTTGCCACCTTTGTCTACAATGGTCAGGGAGTCTTGGCTCAGCACCTCCAAGTCCATGAGTACTTGATCCATAGTACTCAGATATGCGCTTCCAAAAGGAGCCTGACCTTTGATCATTCCCAACTATTGCATCTTTAGAGGTGTTTAACCACCCGCTTATCAAGACTAAGTCATCTTCTGTGGACCAAATCCTTCTCTCCCTACGGTGTTCTGCTGTCTCTTCTGGTTGAGTAGGAGGTTGAGTGGGCTGTGAACTAGTTTGTGAACTAAAAGAAGGGATTTGAGAGGAACCAATGTTTACATTGGGAGCATAGCCGTCGTATGGGAAGTTTAAGAGACTAAAGTAGGGTTGAGACTGACTATTAGGAGTATTATTTGGATCCATAGCAATGAGATTTAAAAAAGGAAGAAGCTGAGGTAGAGAGATTAATTGAGAGTTCTCGAATATTGGTTAAGAAAGAAGCAAAAGAGGTAGATGATAAAAGCGAAGAGAAGGTATGAGAGATTTGTTATTTGTCTCAAGTGTAATATAAAGTAGTTAAGAAGATCATTTAATTTAAAGTTTGGTGTTGTTCAACTCTTTTAATTCACAATAACCCTTACCTACTTCAATCAAATCAGAAGTAAACAAAGGTCATTAAACATGTATTTTCTTAATGGTTTCATATCTACTTGTTTTGTTTTAAATCAACAGAGACATATAAATTTAGACAACTGTTACAAAAATTGGTGTTTCAAATCGTTTTGCAGTTCATACAAACAAGTGAACTCACTTTAAATATACCAAATGCATTAACAAAAACGCCATTTATTCTGTATGAAAACCAAGTATATCATCAAGATTCACACTTTGTAAACCTAGTTTTCTTGTTAACTAAATCGCTTAATCAGAACACACAACCGATTGTACAACCTATAGTTCTTCTAATCAACGAAATCGATGAAAACAAAAGTAGACTAAGGAGACCATAAAAGACACCAGACAGAGGAGACCAAAAGACAGAGGATACCAAAAGTAGACTGACCTTGTGTATTTCGCCGGTTATAGAACGGATTTGTACAACCACCAAGCAGACAACGATTTCTGGAGATCGATTTCTCCAGCCCTATCAAATCGCGAAACTGTCGCCGTGAGAGAGAGAGAGAGAAGAGAAGAAAACGCACCCCAAATATTCCAACCAATGCCCAAATGCCACGTCACCCCGCAACACCCACAAGAACAGATCCAGGTCTAGAGCCCAGTTCCTGATCTTAAGCCCATTAGCCCATTTTTTTGGATTAAAATATTGCTTAGATCGGGGGGGGGGGGGGGTGATCCACCGATGGAGATGGCCTAAGAGTAATATATGTTTGGAGAAAAAAGAAAAGCAAAATACAAAAGACTCATTCTGTTCTAGTTGGGCCGTGTTAACGGGCCGAATGTTGTGACTAAACTATATTCTCGAAATACCCTCAAATTGGAAGAATATTACAACAGTGCCATTAGTTCTTCTTCATCTTCCTCAGATGAAGAATCTCTCCGGCTAAAACCCTTTCTTCTATCATCTCTGTGAAAGCTTTGTTCTTTCAAAGAAAATGGTTTCCGTTTTATTCCAATCTTCTTGTTCTTGTTCACTTTCTAACTTCCCCTCTGTAAAATTCGGAGCTCGTGTTGTTTCTCCTCTGTATTTCGCCAGAAATCATGTACAAATCACTTCCGGTGGTCTTCCAATCGGAAAAGGTAAAGGCTTTTCACAATTTTCAAAGTCGCGACTTACTTGCTTCGACATGGTCTATGTTGTTCTTGATTTTAGAGGGAATTAAGACTAAGTCTTGCTTTAATTGCTTACAAATCGAAATAGTTATCTCAAAGTTTCTGTCTTTTTGTCAAATGCTACATCACAATCATGTAGCTTTAGGTTGCATTAGATTTACTGGTCTGAAATTGTTAAAATACTGTGAAATGTCTCAGGAAGTTTATTGAACTTCAAGAGTGAAAGACCTCAGAGATTTGTTATCTCAGCTGTTGTGGATGATAAAAGTGTTGTAGCTAAAGAGGCGAAGAAAGACGGTGGAACGGCGGATAGTGGATCAGAAGTGGTTGTAGATAACCAGAGAATGATCAAAGTTTGTGATAAGCTTATTGAGGTTTTTATGGTTGATAAGCCTACACCATCTGATTGGAGAAGACTCTTAGCTTTTAGCAAAGAATGGGATAGTATCCGGCCACATTTCTACAAACGGTGTCAGGAACGAGCGGATTCTGAGGATAACCCTGAGATGAAGCACAAGGTTCATCGACTTGCAAGAAAGCTTAAAGAGGTGAATTTCTTGGTTCTTGCCTTCTCTTTATGTATTTGAAAATTGGGTTATCTATGATGTTTGATTGTGGCATTGGTCTTAAATCAGGTTGATGAAGATATTCAAAGGCATAATGAGCTTCTCAATGTTATCAAGAGGACACCACCGGCTGAAATTGGTGAACTTGTTGCTAGGCGTCGTAAGGATTTCACAAATGAGTTTTTCGAGCATTTGCATACTGTTGCAGAATCCTACTATGACAATCCGGATGAACAAAACGGTAAAATTTTGTTCCCTGTGAGTGAAATAATTTGAAACCCTTTGCCTAATCCCTAAGGGATTAAACAATACTGATATTGTTCAATGATAACTTTTCTTATTGGCAAGCTCTTGCGTCACTTGGGAAGTTGTCTATCGCGGCTGTACAAGCATATGATACTTCAACAGAAAGCATTGACGCACTAAACGCTGCGGAATTGAAGCTCCAGGACATAATCAATTCCCCTTCTCTTGATGCTGCCTGCAGAAAGATTGATAGTTTGGCTGAGAAGAATCAACTTGATTCTGCGTTGGTTCTTATGATCACAAAAGCTTGGTCTGCTGCTAAGGAATCCAACATGATGAAGGAAGAGGTACTAAACTCGTAAAACCAATAATAGCATTGATTCCTTAAAGTTACTCCCAGCATTGGCAGAGATTTGGAATTAGTTGTAATGTGATTTTCGTTGGGTGAACATTATCTTTGTATAACATTGATTGAATTCATACAACTTAGGAATCTAGTTAGTCCTTTGAACCCACCACGTAACTTCTTTGATCCATTCCGCTGTTGGTTCTTGACAGGTAAAAGACATATTGTATCACTTGTACGTAACAGCAAGAGGGAATCTACAGAGGCTTATGCCGAAAGAGGTGAGAATACTTAAGTATCTACTATCGATAGAGGATCCCCAAGAACAGATGAGCGCTCTACAAGACGCTTTTACCCCTGGGGACGAGCTCGAAGGGACTGATGTAGACTACTTATACACGTAAGGATGAGAAAACTTGATCGGGTTATCTTATATATACATTTACGTAGATATGGAACCTTAGGGTGTGTGTACAAATGGAAACTCTGTAGGACGCCTGAGCATTTGCAGAGCTTGATGAAAACGGTGTTGGAGGCGTATCATTTCAGCAGAGAAGGGAGTCTAGTGAAGGAAGCAAAGGACCTTATGCATCCTGAGCTCATCGCCAAAATCGAACAACTCAAGAAGCTTGTTGAAAAGAAGTATATGTGATCAAGATTTTACAGATCCTAAGCTTTCCTTTCATTTGTTACTATGTATGTGTTTGTATATGGTGTATGACATATTTCAGGTTTCCGATTCACACATATATTTGATACCACCATAAGAGTAGACTATAGAAACATGTTTCAGTGTTCTTCATTATCGAAGAAACAATTCTGTTTTCTTTTGATACAAGGAAAGAGTACAAAGATAGTTACAAATTCCTTAAAGCTTTGAATCAAAGCAAAACCATGAGTAAAATATAACACGAAGGCCATGGTGGCGGAACTACATGTGTGAATGGGGTCAACTGACCCCAATAAAATTTTATAGTTTTAACTTTCGTTAAGAATAAGGTACATCAAATGGCTAAAATTCCCATAGTTGACTCATTCAACATGTGTTTGCATCCCATTTGGTCCCATGCATGCAGCTCAAAATTCCAAGACTCATTGTTTTCTAACCGAGATTTATAATGTATTTTATCTCTATCTTAAGCCAAAATGTTTTTTTTCCGTTTTCTGCATTAGTTTTAAACTTTTAATTACATTTTTTTTGTATTTCCGTAAGCAAAAATTCTAAAATGCATGCATATGATAATTAATATGAATGCTTTAAAAGATTATTTTATAATGTTTTATTTAGCGTTTCATATAATATTGACCCCAATAAAAACACGGTCTAGCTCCGCCATGATGTGGAGGAGTTAGTGGTTCATTAAGCACTTAAAACTTTGCATTAAAAAAAGCTTGCTTGTTTGTACGCAAAGCTTACTGATCGACCACGCCAAATATTTTTTGGTTATACATAGGATATTCATGTTTTGATTCAAATAGTTCGAATTCATTTTGAGGTGAACGAAAAAACTAAACGAAGAATATGACTTTTATTTATAATAGAAAAGAATCCGACAATAACATAGCATAGGAAGCTGTTGAGTGTTGATAGTTAGTTAAATAAGTAAGATATGATCACAAACTTCGAAAATTAGAAAACAACTATTTAAGTTTTATTTATTAGCATGTCGTTGAGTGAACTCTCGGGCTCTCTGATCAAATTGGAATCTGTTATTCTTGAAGAGTTGTCCAATATCAGGTACAAGAGGATCATCTGGGTTTGGATCCTCCAATAGTAACGTTATGGATAGAAGTACCTGTTTTTATAATTATTTATTAACCAAAATTAATACTTCAATGCCTAGAATAATTCGAAAAACAATGAACATAAAATCTGAGTCGAGTTTGAAACCTTTTCAACCGTAAGAGGAGGAGTCCACTTGTCTTTAAGAATGTCAAGGCAAATTGATCCTTCTTCGTTGATATTTGGATGGTATATCGGAGTTCTGAACGTAAACTGTATCAAATATAAAAATATATTTACTTTTATAAACAACAAAATCTTTAGGAAACTTAAATTTCAAAAAAAAAGATTAGTATAGCATATATGTATAACTAACCTTGGGTGGTTTAAAAGGATAATCTGTAGGAAACTTAATATCGATGTTAAACATGCCACCTTCATAGGGAGTACCAGATGGACCATGGATCATTGTTTTCCATTTGTATATATCGTTCGAGTCTCGACCTATATAACATACATTCCATCAACAAATAGTATTGTTATAGTTCAGATAAAACAAAGAAAAGGTTAAAGTAATTTAATTAGTTTGGTTATTGTTACAAATGAAAATATTAATAAGGTTTCGTGCACTAGATAGCCTGTTATTTTAAACAAATAGTTTCATTTTCAAATGTGTTATAAGCAAGTAGCATGTTAATTAACTAACAAAGGATTCAAAATTAAGATGAAGGGGATTATTTAGAATTTTAGATATAAAAATATAAATATCATTGTTACGTAGAAATATATTTTAAAAAAATAGCTACTAACCAATACTGTACAAAGAGTCATTCGAGATCATAGCTTTGTATTCCTTCTCAATTCTCTGCGTTGCTTTTTTATCCATTTTCTTAAACATCTTTACGATAAATCACCAGACTATTTCTCTTTTCATCAAATAAAATACAAAAAATGATTTTTGTTACTTGTTAGTATGGTGGTGTTGTAATACGAGCAAATTGTTAAAGATTGATTAAAATGAAATCAAGACGGAAAAAAAAAAGATTAAATATGAAATCACTTACTTGGAAGATGTAAGTATGAATTGTGTTAGAAACAAATGAAAGGGTCCCGGGCTTTATAGCGTCAGCAAATTGACCTAATAAATGTCTTCTTTATTAATTATTATCAACACTACTAATATGTGCTTTTAAATCTTATCTACATGCGTAAAAACTATCTTGTCTACATAAATAGAAGATACGTTACTTTAAAATAACAAGATATTCTTAATGAATGAACATAATTATTAGACATCCTACTTTTAAACATAAATTAATTTTTAAAGAGATGATATATTATGCATAAATTAAAATTGCGAGAGATGAGAGTCATGCGTCCCTTTTATGAGAAAGGGCAAATGCCCAAAGTCACCGAACAAAACTAACATTTGAACGCCACATTTTTATTTATAAAAACAGGCTATAACAATTTAGTTAATTTGATATAAAAACAGGTCATTAGTTATTTTTAACTAGAATTATAGATTATAATAATATGCAAATGCATGCACTTAGAATGGTTTCTCTCCGAAGCGTAATTGCTCTTATCTGGAATGAATATAGAATTTTCGTTTTTAATACGATATTTAATTTAAACTTCAAAAAGTGAATAAAGCGCCCGTGGCCTAATGGATAAGGCGTTTGACTTCTAATCAAACGATTGTGGGTTCGAGTCCCACCGGGCGTGTCATGAATTTGATATTTTTTTTTTGTTTTTTTTTTTGTCTTTTTTTTTCAATACAATCTAATCTATATATACATTTGTGAAGTACTTTTTTTTTTGTCATCCGAAACTAAATAGAGCTCAAAAGAGCCAATTCTGAGGAATGTTGTTTACATATGTGATATGTAGCGGTTCTGTACGAACTTTTCGTGCCAGTTTATCCGCTTTGACATTAGTCCTACGAGAAATTAAAGATAAAGAAAAAGATGAAAACTCCTCCTTGTCGCTCTGAAATTCCTCCAAATACATTTAGCAAATAAATCCTGAAGTTGAGAAGTATGGTAACAAATCAATTTTATTTCTAAATTTTCCTAAAACATCTCTACCAAATTTAAACATTAATATATAATTCTTCTTTCACTTTTATATGATCTTATAGTAATTTATTTTGAATTTATATAAAATACAAATAATTAATAAAATAATAAATTTTTCTGTATATATATAATGTGATTCAAAATTTTAAAAATGGACATATATTACTCAATCGATGAAGAAAAAGTATGTGTACAATATCCCATATTACTTAAAAGTTTGGAAAATGGTTCAGAGTCATACTATAACAAGGATCAAAATAATTCTGAATACAAAATGGAGTTATATGGTGGGACGGGTTTGAGTCGATATTAATACGTGAACGTATACCACGGGTGAAACCTAGAATTAAAAATCAAACCTAGAATTATATAATATTAAATATTAAACAAACCAAACAATATTAACAAAAAAAAAATATAACTTAAAATTTAAAAATTTTAGTTTAAAAACTCGACCCGCAATATACCGCGCGGTAAATTGTTTGATATAAAATAATATCAAATTATTATAATAGTCCATGATTATAAATACTTGCAAATATTAACACTATATCATTTGTACATCTACCAATCTTCATAATTAAATGAAGATTAATTACACATATTTCAACTATATTAATTATAATATAAAATAATTAAATGATTTTTTTATAATATCAATTTAAAAATACAATAAATTATAAATTATTATATAAAATACATAAAATATAATTTTGCCCCGCGGTATACCGCGGGTTAAATCCTAGTCTATATATACATATTTGAAGTACATTTATGAAATAAATCCTGGAGTTGGGAAGTATTTACAAAGAATGCCATTGGTTTTAATTCTAAAAATGTGAAAAGTTTAATAAAAAATATTAACACAACGATTTAGATCCTAAATTATCTCTTAAAACTTATCTTTCCATACCTATATTCACTCATTTGCTAATTGCTATTTAAAAAAAAAACTATTAATGCTAAAGTTGATAAAAAAAAAGAAGCTAATCTTATAGAAAACGAATTTTTGTATAACCGTTTATCTATTAAAAGTACCTACATAATAAACAACTTTAATTGGTTGAAACTTTTGAAAATATAAGTCGTCAGTTAAAAAAATCGACCTTATTAATAAGTCAACGTAAAATGAAGCAAGTCTATCATGAATAAACAAGTCGACATTAAAAAATTATAAATCGAGGAACAAAAATATTAAGTTAATAGTTCAAAAAATCGACTATGTTATAAATCAACGAGCCATAACATAAGTCGACTGTTTTAAAAAAAATTGAAGGTGCAAAAAAATAGGTCAACAGAAGTAAAATATAAGTCGTTAGTTAAAAAAATTGACATTATTAATAAATCAACATAAAGTGAAGTAAGTCTACCGAAAAATAAGGAGGAAAAATATATAATTACTATTTTTTAAATATTGTAACGGATCAAAAAGTTAAGTGATACATATCTTTTAAATATTCAAAAATTTATATGTGTAATGTGGTGGTTGGGCCTAGAGGTGTCAAGCGGGCCGATGGAGGTGTCAAGCGGGCCGATAGCCCGCGGGCTTTGTCCAAATAGCCCACGGCGGGACGCGCTTGGACATCGAATTTTATGTCTACAGATTAGCGGGCCTAGCGGACAGGCCTATAGCGGATCGCAGGTTCAAGCTGGTAAACCCGTTGCGAGTTGCGGGTCTATAGGTCGTCCGCGAAAGAGATGCCAATTCTTTCAAAACCCTTTGTTTCTCTTAGAGTCTTTCAAACCTTTTGTCTCTTTTAGAGTCTCTTGTGCAAATCGAAACTCTAATAAAACTATAAAAGTCAGTTCTCGTCTTCACGATCTGAGTGCTTAACAAGGAAACTGAAGAGTCATTCTCTCTATTTTTTTTTCACGAGCACACAAAACTTGGATCTTCAAAGTTTCAGATTTCAATCGCTTGTGGATGATGCAGATGGATATTGAGTTGGAGATTTTATTTTAAGTTTGATATTCATGTTTGGATTTGAGTTTAAGTTCAGGTTTCTTTTGCAACGGTTCAATTA